AGGCCCAGGTTCAACCCCTGGTGTGAGAGCCATGCCCAGGCACCACCGGATTTGACCCCCAGTGTGGAAACCAAGCCCGGGCATCACACTGAGAAGGACCTCTTCGGTAACAATGGCAGCTAGTAATAATAGTGTCAGTCAAGAGAGATCTATAGATGATTGATCTGAATTTGCTTTGGAGGCATAGCCTAGGGGACAGAGCCTTAGATTTGAAATGAGGACACCTGGGTTCAAACTCGCACTTGCTGTGTGATCGCAGGCAAATCCAGCACCTGGTACCAAGGCAACTATGCATGAGCTTGGCTATCTTTTCCATGGAATATTCCTTCAGTGTGAATGAGCTGCCACTAAGTAGATAATGGGTTTGGTTTGGGTCCAAATTCTGACTCCCCAAAAGTGTGGCAAACTGAGCAAAAGAAACATTGCATGCTTTTACAAAAATGTATGCTTTTTTATTACAAGTAAAATTGAATTGAAACCAGAAAACATTAAGTTCTAATAATTACATATACCATTTTAACTAGTTTTTAGAACAATCTGACACACTGAGGTTTCCCACTAATGTTCAATGATTAAACCTTGAGAAGTACAACCTAGTGGTTCTAATCTATTGATTATACATATATTTAAGCTGGAGAACCTTGTGTAAAGTAGATAAATGCTCAGATCTTCTGGTTGAACTGGAGATAGAGACCTTGAGCCATTCATATTCCCTTTCCCCTCAGATCCCTCTTTCTCCCTATCCACTGATATTGTTTAGGTGTAACATCAAAAGCACAAGCAACAAAATTAAAAAAGAAAAAATTGATAAATTGGATAAGTTAAAAACGTGCATCAAAAAACACTATCAAGAAAGTGAAAGGACGGGGCCGGCCGAGTGGCGCGATAGTTAAGAACTCGCTTGGGATGCCAGAGGGCCCCGGTTCGGATCCCACATATGAGGGCCAGTGACACTGCCCTCCACAGCTAAGATGCTGAACAACAGCTCAACCTGGAGCTGGGCTGCCGTGAGTTGCCGGCGACGGCGTAGGCTGCAGCCCCTGTGGCAGTGGGTTGCCATGGGCTACCGTGTGTAGCCAGCAGCCAGCAGCCAGCGTGAGCGGCCAGCAGCCGCAGTGAGCGGCCGTCCAGAAGCCGGCGCCTGATCTGCCTCACCAGGGAAGAGCGCAATGACGGTGCCAACTTGGGCCAGTGAAGCAACATCCTCCACAACTAGATTGAAGAACAAAAATGACAGCAACTTGTCTGTTCCCCTTCCCCCAGTTCCCCAGCACTGTTCCCATCCCCCCAATTCCCCAATAAAAAATCTTTAAAAAAAAAAAAGTGAAAGGACAACTCACAAATCAGGAGAAAATATTTGCAAATCATATATCTGAAAGGCTCTAATATTCAGAATATATAAAGAACTAAAAAATATATATAAATATATATATATATATATATATATATATATATAAAGAACTCCTACAACCCAATAACAAAAAGGCAACTCAGTTTTTAAATGAGCAAAGGGCTTAAATAGACATTTTTTTAAAGAAAATCCACAAATGGCTAATGAGCACGTTGTTAGTCATGAGAGAAATGCAAAGCAAAAGCACAATAAGATACCGCTTCGCACCCAATAAGATGACTAGAATTAAGAAAAAAATAGAAAATAGTGTTAATAAAGACGTGGCGAAATTGGAACCCTCGTACATTGTAGGTGGGGATGTAAAATGATGCTGCTATAGAAAACAGTTTGGTTATTCTTCATAAAGTTAAACATAGAATTACCAGATGAGTCAGCAATTTCACTCCTCGGTATATACCCAAAAGAACTGAAAATAGGTGTTCAAACAAATACAACTGTTCATAGCAGCACTATTCACAATAACCAAAAGCTTGAAACTACCCCAATATCCATCAAATGATGAATGGATAAACAAAATGTAGTATATCCATACAAAGGAACATTACTCAGCCATGAAAAGAAGTACAGATACATGCTACAATGTGGATGAACCTTGAAAATAGTATGCATTTGTTTTATATGAGACATTCAGAATAAGCAAACTCATAGTGACAGAAAGCAGAGTAGTGGTTGCCAGAGGCTGAGGGAAGAGGGGTCTGGGGAGTGACTACTTAGTAAGTATGGAGTTTCCTCTGGGGTAATGAAAATGTTCTAAAACTAGATAGCGGTGATAGTTGCACAACACTGGATGTATTACATATTACATTGATAAATTTTATTCTATAATAAATTTTAAAACAACTCAAATTCTGACTGGCAGGTAATGGAACTTAATGAACCTGGCCAGGTGTGGGAGTTGGGCAAACTGGATGGAGTGTGAGGGCACCTCTTAAAGGGGGCAGCCACTACAGAACTCCCATGGGTAGTTGCCAAGACAGAATTGGGCCCATTGTTGTCAGATCACCCAATACTTCAAGAATAGTTTGCTTCTC